TATCGCGAACTGCCATTGACAACATTATTCACACAGAAGAGAGAGTGCACATGTGTGAGTTAAAAACCGGTTAATGTACACCTGACCTGGTATGGGTCAGCACGCGGAAGTACATGCTGGATGTATGTTGAAGGCGGAGTACTGTGTTTACAACAGTTTGCGCTGACTTCGTCTCTCTTTTTTTTATTATTTTAACAGCGGAGTGTACTTGAAACATTGCATATTTAGTATTTTAGACATCATAATAGTTGTCTTTATTAAGGAGTTTTAGTTGTGTTAAAATATGTTATTAGCTAATGCCACAGGAACCGAGGGAGCAATCGCCCCCCCCCCCCAGCCCCCGATTTGTTTAGAGGGAGCAAGCGGCAACAGTGTTTTGTTTTTGAATTTCGCCTCAAGGGCTAGTCGTCCCTAATCTTGAAGTGATAGACAAGATGGTCGACACCACTCTCCGCCAGTTCTTGGGCTACTCTTTACCAACGAATAATATGATCGATCGTCACATTATAACACTGCTATGGCTGAAAGGGCAAGCATGCTTGCGAACGAGATTTGAACCTGCGACTCTCAGATTGCGAGTTGAGTGCCCTAACAATCAGGCCGACACCAATCACCTTCAAATATAGCAATTACTATGGTACCAAAACAACAGTAATAACGTATGCATGTTATATAATGTCACCAGTTACTCAATCACAATACGGTGCCCCCAGTCTGCGGACTTACAACGCTAGAAACTGGGTTTCGATACCCATGGTGGGAAGAGCACAGATAGCCCTTTGTGTAGCTTGGTGCTTAACAACAAACAAACACAATACGGTATATTATGTAATGTCACCAATCACAATACGGTATGTTATATAATGTCACCAGTCACAATACGGTATGTTATATAATGTCACCAGTTACTCACCCTGTACTGATGTGTAGGCCGTATATGATAATATCAAGTTCGTTAAAGTCGCTTCTGTACCAAAAACGTTTCTACTACACTGACATTATCTTCCTTTAGACAATTCTTTAAAAGGTATATTGACTGTTAATAAGAAAACTGTAAACAGGAAAAAAATCTGAGAAAAAGCTGTAAACACCTAAACAGGAAAAATGAAACATCTGAATAAAAAAAAACCAGAAAAGCTGAATGAAAAAACAAACAAACTGTAAATATATATATATATAAGTAGACATGAAACTGTTTCTATGGTAATGAACTTTCTTTATAGCAACGAGAACTGGAGCATTATCATTTAATATTGTTGTGCAGTCAAAGAAACTTCCAGAAAGCTTGGATGCGATGGCGATGTTAACAACTCCGACCCTGTTGTTCCAGCATTTAACACTTCTTACTACTTGGCTTTTTGCAAGTTCTAGATATAACAAAATTTCCTACTTCAAAACTTGACGGTCATCCTGTGGGTCAGTGGTAAGTTTACACTAAAATCAGATGTTAGATTATCCGCGGTGGACTGAGCACAGATAACCTGTTGTGTAGCCTTGTGCTGAAACAAATTCCAAACTTGACGATCTTGACTATTAAAAGAGACGAAAGTTTTGTTTCACGTTTTTTTAGCCATTTTTTTCCTGAAAGTTATTTTAACTACTTATTCTTATACTGAAATGAAAATATGCATTTTTCTGTAATCATTTAATGCATCTACTTTCGCTTCCGGTCAGTCATCCATAGAAATAAACGGCTAAAGCTGGTGGTAATAGCACCCTAAAAGCGTTGGGGATATACCATCTATCAAGCAAAATCCAAAACACCGAAGTTAAACAAGTTGACCATCATGTAAAAATAAACGGATAAAGCTGGTGGTAATAGCACCCTAAAAGCGTTGGGGATATACCATCTATCAAGCAAAATCCAAAACACCGAAGTTAAACAAGTTGACCATCATGTAAAATCAAAACATGGGTTAAGAGGTGAGTGCTTAAACCCACAACGTCTCACTTCCTACTGCCTTTCACTGTCTGCAGCCAGTTGTGGGAAGGCAGTTGTCCTTAAAGTTATTTAAGTTCTAAAAGTAGAAACAGAACCACCCAAAATGTCTACAGTATAAAACTCTCAACCACCACCCTTATAAAGGTCTTAAAAAAAGAAAAGTAAATAACTTACTCATAAGCTATCGAAAACTTATTCAAGAATGACACGGGAAAGCTGAGGCAAGTCTAGCTACTTCAAGTTTGTCTTTCCAGTCCCGGCATACTGTATAAAAAACTGGTTTGATAACAAAGTTAGTTTTTCATATATATAAACACACATATAGATATATGTGCACAATACAAGCTACACAAGAGCCATCTTTGCTAGATGTCGGTAATTTTGAACTGATAGACTAGAAGGAAGGAAGGCAATAAGTCAATAGCACTAACCGCCAACTATTAAGCTACCCTTTTCTATTTTCATAAACCTAAGTTTCTTTTGCTAATGATCCAGTTGGAAATTGGTTTAAGAACGATAGTCTTCTTTAAGAACACTGACCGTTACAAATTCAATATAAGTATAACATTACTGGAATATTTTATTTAATATTTACGGACCAAAAACGTGTTCCGAATTTAGGGACGTTGATGCACTATTCGAGTGATTGTGAAATCCCATTATTCGATCGGACAAGAATATTCCAAAAACTGACGGTAGACGCTGTAGTATATCAATTCAAAACTAGAGGCGCTAATGCAGCTAGCGCTTGAGTAACTGTGCATAAAAATTAAAAAATAAACAATTAATTTAAGCTTTATGAATTAACCATTTTCATAGAATATAAGAACGTAGTTTCTTGACTTCGAACTTAATTTATTTTGGGTATGAATACTTTAGACATTTACTTAAAACCAGAACTCTGTGATCATATCGTTTCAGTTGGTAAACAAATATGTCATTAAAACTGTATTTTTGTTACTTTATTTTTATAATTAATTTTCAGTAAGTCATATTCAAAACTGTTTTATTTTAAAATAAACAGTGGAGTTACGATCTTCCTTGAAGTATTATATTAAATAGTTTGTGTTGGTGTCCAGGTTTAGGTATATCCATACCTCAGGATTTCGGTTCTCGATGGGAAAGAATATACTCAGAAAAATATCTGCCCCCCCCCCAAAAAAAAGAGAACGTTCACAACTCTCAACAATCAATTTAGTTTATATTTAACATTCTTACTTCTCTTTTTTTCCTTTTTATTTGTCGGGACGGATGAGATTTCGTGTGGAGGGGAGGGTATAAAGCTGCTAAGCAGAAAACACGGCAGCGTTCGCCTCTTCACGTCTACTATCCTGTAACTAATTGTCACGTTTATAACGCTTCTCTGGAAAGAATGTGACGAGTGTGTCCAGTGGCATATAGTGACTTAGGATGGTTGTCAATTCAGTTTTAAAATTTCAAATCCCTGACGGTCAGACATTAAATTAGTATTCATCATTAACAGTGAAAAAAAAAACCATTCATCATTAGTTTGGTGTTTGTTTGTTTTATAAAATTAAATGAAAATCACATTTCTTTTGGCTACACCAAATACAACGTTTAAGACAAGATGAAAGATATTTGTTATGTATAGTTCCTACACCTAAAATACGTCAACAAATTACTTGAAATAGAATATATATATATATATTACCGTAGAGTCTAAAGGCAATACTAAGTTAACCACTGTAAAACAGAAGGGCTATCTGTGCCCCTCTTCACCACGAGGAATAGATCCCTGGATTTTAGCATTGTAAAAACTAAACAATGATTTATCCATGCTCTGCGCAACTCAGATATCGAAACCCGCCATAAGCCCTCAGCCTTATCTTGGAAAGAACAAGTTGGACTTCTAGATATCTCTTAAAATATGTTATTCTTCAAAGTCGCATGGGAAAAAAAGGCAAGTTTCTAGTATTGTTAATAGAAACAATGAATGGGTGACACCAGTTCGTGGGTGAAGGTTTTCTATTTGGATCTCATTCATACAAGAGATATAACTGTCACGCTTGTGTTGACTTTTCAGACACTCCTTTTATTCGATTTTCATTGAAAAACATTATACTTTAACCTGATTTATGGCTATTATACGTGTGTGTACGAGTATATTGAAATTTGTTTTGTAACGATCGTATGATTTTCCTTATATTTGAATTGTTTTTTAGCCGTAGTAACAGAAAAAAGGCCAAACTTATGAGTTCCAGCAGCTTTGAGGTTAGGACTATTCGCAATAAAGGTCATACATATTTCAAATGCCATTATGTAATCAGGCATGTTTCAGCTCTCGCTTGAACGAACTGTGAACTTGGTTGTCTAGGTGAGGCTAATTTCAATTCACGTTGCATGCAGGTCCTTGACCTTTCCCTGGCGGAATATAATGTAACTACATTTATGCCTTAGACATGTTCAACTACGTCTTGGACTTTTGTAGAAATGTTATACTCATCAGTATAAGGACCTTTAATAAGAACCACATATACTTGAAGTTAATAATTTTGTTTCAAAACTTGAATATTAATATTAATTAACTATGAACAATAGATTTTCTGAGGAATATTTTTAACAATTAAGCTTTTTTAAGAGAGATTAAAATCTGCATAAAGTCCCCCCCCCCCAGTGACTCAGCGGTAAGTCTGAAGCCTCATAACGGTAAAAACCAAGTTTAGATACCTGTACAGGACAAAGCACAGATATTCAATTGTGTAACTTTGTGCTCAATCATATATCATGACATATCATATATAACAATCATATATAAAGTTTAGGCACCTTAGAACGCCTTTCTAAGAGAGGCCACATTTGCATTTCATCATGATGGTGAAAAGTATTTTGCTAACGGTTTTTCTTCCTTTTTTTCCAGCAATCGGAGATGTTCTGATGAAGCCCATCAATTTCTTCGGTGACTACAACACTGTGGATGGTTTTGTCATCTTTCTCACGGGCAACATCTCCAACAATAATTTGTGTTACCTAGAACTGGTACCACGGTTGTGTATTAGTTGCACCTTGAAATTGGAGAAGTACAATCACTTGTGTCATTATGGGTAACACGTGTTCACATTCCATCCATCTTACCCCCTGCCGTTCCTCCATCTCACCATCATTTCAAATAAAAGATAATGAGCAAAAACGAGTATTCAGATATGGAGCTTCTGAAACCCGGCTTCTACCCCCACCCCAGCTCGGTCAATGTCTCAGGATGACTGAAAATGGGAATATTCTTCTGAACGGAGGAACTATAAGTGGTCGAAAACTGCACAGTCTTATAGAAGGAGAATCTGATCCCGAAGTTCTAAGAATTTTAGAAAAACGCATGGCTAGATCAGATCACTTTGAACAAAATACCGATCATATATATAAATCTCACAGTGATCCCGATATTGTTCACAGTTTAATAGATCAGGAGAACAACGGGATCATGCAAGAGGAGAAAAGACACTTTCATAAAAGTGCAGCTGCTGTCAGTCCGAGTAAGGCTAAAATCAAATCGAGGAAGAAAAATCGTGCTCCTGAACCACCTCAGTCATTGTCCACAGATCAGGACAAACGGTCTTTCCACAGATCAGACTCACATTTACTTAAAAAGAAGACACATTTTATACCAAACAGAAAAGAGTGGAAAACTAAACATCCTGCACCTCCTCCACCACCTCTTTTATTCAGTGAGAGAGGGAAGTTGGAAACACTTCAAGAAATTCCTGGAGATGGAGATAGCAGAAGCTCAGGTGATATATTTAGAATGAAAATTTCGGGGAACAGAGATGTTTCGAAAAATATAGATAACAAGAGCTTCTTTGAAAATACAGAAAAAAATCACAGTATAGAAAGACGAGAGAAAAACCGAGTTGTAGTAGAGAAAAAGGCAAATGTTACAACCGAGAACGATAGCTTCCAACAGACGAGAAACGTCGTGTTTAACAGTAAACATATCACAACGAAAAACCATAAGTTACGATCGCTGTCGAGTCTCTTGTGCAATAACCCAGAAAATCGACGAACATTTAAAGAACAAATTGAAGCTGCAGCGAGAAAACATTTCCAACAAATAGAGGTTGGTAAAGAAGTCTCGAAAATTACAGAAAAAACCCAAATTAACCAAGAAGCTATAAAACAGGAAAGAGGACAACATTTTGAAAGTAAAGAGAATGAAACTGAGTGTTGTTCATCCAAAAAGTTTTATTTCTCAGAAAAACTACCCTCAAAAGGTCAAAACCCTGATGAATTAATGTTAACTGGGGCCCAGAGTTTTAGGAAATCCACTGAACCTCGAGACAGTGATAAAACAAACCCTGTTGTCACAAAAGCTGTCGTTTCCCACACATTTTCTGCATCAGACCAGCCTGAAAAGGTAACAAAAGTTATAGAATTTACTAAAAATGAAATTTCCAATCAACTAGGGTATGTTAGAGGTCATAAATCACCTTTTATTACACACACGAATTCTGAAGTTCAACAAGAAGTTCTAAATAAGGCTGCGTTAGATCCAGTTGACACAAGTCGTTATGATAGATCACTTAATAATAGATCAGATGAATCTCAACGGACAAAGATGAAACATGTAGATTACAATTCTTCGACATTGCCTTCGAATAAATCACATTCTAGTGATTCTGATGAAAACAACACTGACATTAGGCTTCAGCTTAAGCCAACGCTTCCAAGGAAACACCTTCAAATTCCTAAATTTTCTCCTTCAGAAGCCTGGAAATGTTTGAACATTGATCGAATAATAGGTCATCAGGACTCAGACCTCAGCAGCAATGAGGAGGACATCAACGAAGAAAGGATTAATCAAATGAACAGATCATTTGCCCCCCGAAGATCCATTGTTGACCTCTGTGATGATTCGGAAATTTCTCAAGATGGTGAGAGACCAGTGTTTGTGCACGAAGAAGGAGATGAACCACAGATAAATAAAAATCAAAGACCAGAGGTTCTTGGAAGTTCCTCACCCGAGATGTCAGCTACTAACAGACAGACCTGGATTCCACAGAACGATCTTGATGATTCGGAGACAGGAAGCATTAATAACTGTGAATCTAACCAGAAACAGAAATACAGTTCTGAAAACATGTTAACACAGGCCAAACTAACACTCCCAAGTAGTATGTTTGGTGGATTTCAGTCTCTACCAATGCCAAATGACAACAATGGTATCAACTCCTCATCTTTTAACAAAGGAAAAAACGGAAGGTGCAAAAAGAAAGATAAAGATGTTACGACACAACATTTTAACAGTCTCAGAAACATAAAGAAGGCTTTCAGATTTGGAAACAAAAATATTAGTGACGAAGCCTACTCAAGATTAGATCCAAACTGGTCATTAAGTCGCAGTATACCAAATAATATCTATAAAATTCACGAAACAGAAAATATAGGTTTGAGAAAAAGTAAATCAGGCTCTATTTTTCCTTCTTCACATGAAGAGCGTAATGATAACACAGATGCATTTTCAAAACAGACACAAGAAATGCAATCTTTTCTATTGCAAGACAAGGGACCGATGATGTATTTACCAAAATGTGCATCTTCACGATCCTTTAGCGAACTGAACAGAGAATGTGAACTGAACCCATCAACCACAAAAGTACAACCTAGAAGAAAGGATAAGAAAAAGTTTGCCTTTGATAGCACGATAAGGAAGCACGAAAGACAAAACTTAGAACTGAAGCTTTCACGGCAGGCAGCAATGAAAGAGAAGGAGAGAGAAAAAGAAATAAAATTGATGAATAAAGTAGAAGATGAGTTTCGCAAACAGAGGGACAAGGAGAAGATAAGTATTCGATACCAGCTTAGAATCTTGAACATGGAAGAAAACAAAGATGGATCTTTTTTAGAAAAACAACACACGATTGGCCAATTCTTAAATAAAAATTCAACAAAAAATGGGGGAGATGTTTTCATTGGTGACTCTAATACTACATTTGGGGAATCAGATCAAAAGGATTCAGCATATACTTCTGAAAACTCCTCACCACAAACCACATCGTCACCTGTAGAGAAGTCTCAGAACCAGCCTCAGGTAGATCAGTGGAATAGGACAACAGGGATGAGTAAGTGGTTAAGAAGACAACGACAAGCTAGTGACTCTCCTGAGAAACCATTCAGCCCTCCTAGGCCAGAGCCAGAAGGAGCCAGATCGTCTGGAGATGAGTGTAAACAGTGTAATGAATACCAGTGTCAACAAAGTACGATATGCCAGTCATTAGCAAAACCAGCAAAAAATAAAAATGTAGCTAAAAATAGAGAAAAGAAGAATGTTCATGAAAAGACAGTAAGACAGGATAAGGTGAACAATTTATGTGACAACAATGCTCCCATAGAATACGATTCTACAAATCGGAAGAGGTATGACTGGACTTCCAATTTGAAGGAGAGATCAGTTCAACCTTGTAGTAGCGAGAACACCACTAGACAGGCAATTGAAAGTATAAATCAAGAAAAACATGTTGTATTGAACGCTTCAGTTATTAACAGAAGACATGTTAAAGACTGTCAATTTTCTCAACAACTCCATAATCGAGAAGACAAAGAATTTGCCCAATATAAGGAATCAAGACTTTTATGTGCTCTGACTGACTTGTTGCCAGAAAGTACAAGGAACAGCGATTACTACAGGTGGAGAATGCGGTTAAGAAGAAAATCTTTCGATGATGTAGAATCAACTTCAGATGATGCATCTTCAAGTGCAAGTGAAGGACAAAATATCCTCCGGGAAAGTTCAAAACAGACGAAGTACTTAAAAAACGACTGGTTACTGGATAACAATTTACCTTTTTTCAGTGACTATCAACGTAAGTCAGAAGGTAAACCTCAAACTTATATCAAACAAGAAGCCTTCGCAGACTATGATGTACTGAGTAAACCCGATCTCAGTCTGGTGCTCACCCAGCCCTTTAACCCTTGCAAGGAATATCGACCAGTGCCATTCAGTTCGTTACCACAGTCACCAAAGAAAGTGGAGTTGTAATATAAGGTAAAATAAAATAATATTTTGAGTTAACGTTCCCATTGTTCAAAAACTGAATTTCCTAGTTATTTTTTTTTACTTTTCAATTGTGAATTGGTTAGAAATATTTTCTTCCCTTTTTTATTTTTATTTATATAACATAAATATTCCTCTGATTTTGCCTGGAAAATATTTTGAACATAAAATTCACATGATAGCGTTTTCAGATTATCTAGGCAGTGAAAAGGATGACTAACTTTGGTATGGTAATACAGGTGTAACTTAATATTTCTTTAAGTACATATAAAAGACCCTTTGTCATTTATCGTTCAGAAATTAGCCAGATGCACCATCAACACTTTATGAACGTTTTAAGAAAGAAAAACTATTTATGTCACTTATATACAGAATTCTTCCCAGTATATATATATATACACGTTACCACAGGTCATCAAGAAATGCACATTTACATCCAAGCAATAAATGCCTTCTACAGTATTCAGATATTACTCCTGACTTGAAAGCAACATACATCCATTATAATGCCAAGACTTGGCTTTCAATCAATACACACTTACTACAATATTCAGATCATAACCGACTTTAAATCAGTACACACTTACTACAATATTCAGATCATACCGGACTTTAAATCAGTACACACTTACTACAATATTCAGATCATACCGGACTTTAAATCAGTACATACTTACTACAATATTCAGATCATACCGGACTTTAAATCAGTACACACTTACTACAATATTCAGATCATACCTGACTTTAAATCAGTACACACTTACTACAATATTCAGATCATACATGACTTTAAATCAGTACACACTTACTACAATATTCAGATCATACCTGACTTTAAATCAGTACACACTTACTACAATATTCACATCATACCTGACTTTAAATCAGTACACACTTACTACAATATTCAGATCATACCAGACTTTAAATCAGTACACACTTACTACAATATTCAGATCATACCGGACTTTAAATCAGTACACAAAATGTCTATAGTAAGAATTTATTAAATATCCATTCTATCAGTTTTTTTCTCTGCTAACAAACTGAAAACGAAATAACTACTTGGAAAAGAAAAAATATATATGTGTTTAGGTAAATGTCAAAAGTTAAATCATGTTGATGCATTTTAAACAGGATTCTATAAAAGCTTTAAAAGTTGCTTTTGAAGTGAAAATATGGTACTCACAGATGAAAAGATAACTTAATTTTGAGAGTAGTATGAAAAAAATATGTATTTATTTGCATAGTAATTTTTAGCATATATTTCCATGTGTATACTGAAATCTAATTTGAGATTTTTCATAAGTGCATGACAGTGTTATCCAATTACTTTCTTTAAACCATACAAAATGAACTACTGTAAACTGTATTTAAATTTGTCGCTTTACCAACAGTTAGTTTATTAATTGTACAAGATGAAGATAATGTTTGTTTTTGTTTTCTGCAGATTTTATAGAAAAGGACAGCAGCATCAAGTGTTCAAAGGTTGTGGAGATAACTAAACACCTGATTCAGTAAATCAATACTTCAAAGCTGGGATATATATTGAACTTTTTTGGTTTGAATGAGTTGTTCTGATTCAGTTACTTACTTCCTAGAATGGTTATACTTTTGTTACTGATAACAAGAAAACATTTACGTGTATATTTACAAAAACCTTGAGTTGGATACTAATCTATGATGGTTAGAAAAAAAAATCAAAGAATTCACTTGCATTTCATTAATAATCCAGTATAGTAGTTTAACATTCAAATACATTTTTCTATTGATAATTTATAAAAGTCTCAGTGTTTCATCCAAACTGAAATACTTAGAACTTTTGAGTTATATTGGAAATAATATTTCTCTAAGTTACACGTGTAATAACGAGGTATGTATGTATCTATATAAATATATATCAACTTATAACTTTTTCTTACCAACAAGTAGTACAGGTTTTGTTAACACCCTACATATTATTGATCAAAATGCATAGGAAAACATGGATGTTGTGGGTGTACGTGTCAAAGTGTAATAATTCAGGAAAAATGAAATTAAAACTGCTTTGTGCTTTTTATTTGACTTTTAATATTCTTTTAAGTAACTTGCAAGCAGAAGAATGATGTCAAAAATGAGTTAAGTGAAAAAAGTTAATATAAATAGCTGTCATGGCTTTTCTCAACTGAAAAATTTTGAGTTTAATACTCCAATTGTAAATATCTTATGAAATTATAAAACATCAAAGCTGTTTACACATGGTAATAGCTTCTATAAACTAATTCATTAATATGCAAGACAAAAGTTACTATCATAATTCAATAAGCTTTTATGGCAATAAACATTACATGACATTACTACAACTAACAAATTTTATGAGAAAAAGACAACACATTATATATACTTAACATCCAGACCAACTACACACTCTGAAATTAGCAATTTCCTGTTCTTGTATAAACAAACTCAACACATTTTCATTTATCAAACTTCAAATTACGATAATAACACAATGGATGAAAGTTCATGATAAGATTAGAACCACTCCAAAGTTAATGTAAGTCTATGAAACTATTGTATTTTTTAAAGTTAAATGTCCATTAAACACTCATTAAAACTATGACAAGACATTTAATTTCTCTACAGACAAATATTATCTTCATCAGTATCAGAAAGTATGATAAAAACATATTGAACATTGTAATGTCATAAACATACTTAAGAAAAGAAATAACTATTTTGAGCTGAACGATTAGCGTGATGAGACTTTTTTTTTCCAGAACTGTTAGTAAGATCTCAATCTTAAAATATCAAATCCTTACTTATACTCTTTACAAGCACTGGTACTAAAATCAATACATTAATTTTCTAATTGCTCTGAAAGTAATGATTTTCTTGCAAGAGAGAAGCAGTAATACCCATAAGAACAAAGTTCACTCCATGCATTACCAACTTTAAATACAGTTGTGCTGATAAAAATTAGTATTCCTGACAAATTGTAGCCTAAAAGAGAACTCAAATGAATGTCACATACTTTAAGTAATATATATATACAAAGAGAAAGAGAGAAGAAAAATAGATAGAAAGCTCTGAAAAGTGAAGGTGATATATTAGACAGCGAGTTTAAGTACATCAGTGATAACAAAATATATTACATTAATGTTCAATACAAAAACAGAAAATATACATTTTTTTTTGTCACAAGAATCCACAGGAGCTGCTTGTTTTGCTGAACATAAGTCAGTTTATAATAACTGGATTTCATTTTTAATTTGTATACTTAAATTCAAGGAAATGAAAAACATGAAAGGAACATCAGGCTGTTTCTTTAACTGATTTTTTAGAAATCAAAATATACAGTAATTTAACTAAGTAAAGAAATGGGGAAAAATAACAACATATTTGTCTTATTTACAGAATAACTGGGATGAACATATACTTTACTGGACTTTTACCAACTGATCAGAAACATGAAAAATAAATAAGAATGGCCCAGTTACATCTACTAAAATGTCCTGCCACTAGATTCATAGTCTTGAAGTAAAACATACACATCTATTACTTTTAATTAGTTCAATTTTAACTGTATCTAAAGTTTAGTCCATGCACATGGTGGTAAGAAATGCAGATATTCTAAAAAATTAGCTTCAATTTTGGCACTGTCAGCATTTTTTGTTTGCTTCATTTGCAGAAATAGAAGCTACTATCGTAGTACTTGAAATGGCTAAATTAATTGCTTAAAATGCAGGAGTTTGTCCTAATGTCTTCTAGATGTGACTAACTACTTGGTTGAAGTATTTATCTAAATAATATCATGTCATTGGTTTTTATTTTAGCACCTCTGGTTATTAAACTATGATTGAATAAAACAGGAGTCGGGGTGAAATAATCAAAGTATTTTCAAATGTTACTGGTATATAAGTAATACATAATGCTAAGTATATGTAGTATAAGTTATTGGAATTAAGTATCTTGTGTCACTGCTGTTTTAATAAAAACATAATCCAAGTTGTTCTTATACTGAAGACATTGGCGCTTCTTGAAAGGATGAAACCTAACTACGATTAACAAAAAACTTACTTTTTACATCCAACAGATCCTAAAATCTTCAAGTAACAGGTTTAATGACATCCAGTTTATGTTAAAACATATTTTTTGACATGCTAGGAGGATAACATCTTAAAGCATAACTTTAAAAATAAGTTTCAGGTCTTAAAACATACTTCACACAGCTTGTGGGAAAGAACAGATAAGTAGGCTTTTGGTATAAAAACCTTACACCATATAAAGAAGATCAATCCAGTGCAGCCTTCCGAGCAAATTCTGTTAGAGAAGACATCTCGGATGGTTCTGTAGGGGAAATTTCAGAAGTTGTCAGTCGACTAAACTCCACTTCTTCCTGGCTTGAAGGTGGTCTCTCTGTGAAGATAAAGTGTGGTAAATGAATGTCAGTACCGTGGGTGCTGTAGCAAGTTCATGTATAAAAATCAATGAAAATAATTTTGAAAAATCTGTACATAATGGAGAAAAATTGATATCATTTTTGGATTCAGGATACAAGAATTACTATAGAACACGTAAGAATTTCAAAACAATAAAACCATCGCAAGCCTGTGATATTAATGTTAAACAAAAACTTAATATTGTGATTCTGTGATGATAGAATAGATAGAATGTATTAAAACAAGAGCATGTATTGAAAACAAATGAATCTGCTTACCAGGTGCTGGAGGATAGGACTTGTGTGAAGGAGCGTAGAGAATAAGCAAGGTGAAGACATAAAGATTCCACATCCCGTAAACACCAGTGAGGAAAGCTGATGTATACTCAAGTTTTAAATCTTCATCCCATTTCCATTGGCCTTCACTAACCTGTATCAGAAGAAAACTTTACTGATTACACGTGTGTATATATATAAAAACTAAGAAAGCAATTACTTAAAAATCCTACCATCCGATAAATAGAAATGCACATTCAGTGATGTTCTATTTTTATTTGTCTGAGACTCACTGTATATTTTCTTTTTTAAAAAAAAGGTAACATGAAGTTAATGGATATCGAATATTAAGATCTGAGAAAAAACAAAATAGCATTAATCCTTTATCAGTTTTAATCCAATACACATAGACAAGAATAAACAGACTTAACTTTTTTTTTTCACAACAACCAATAAACTAAAATTCACCCAAATGTTTTATTAAATGTTACATTTAGCCTGTTTTTACTTCTTGGTGTATTCTACAATTCTTACCTGTCCCACGATGTAGGAGATAACAGTCATGGCTGCACAAAGTAAAGTTGCCAACATCAAGAAGTTGAAGCGATAAATGATACCCTACAAAGTACAATTTATAATTATTTATCATACCTAGTAAGTAAGAATAATATTTAAGGAATTCTAAAAGTAATGTATGAAAATCTATATAAATGAAAAACTGAGTAAACAACACTTTTCAAACATATGATTACACCTTACAAAAACAAATTTGATATATGATACCTCACCAATATACAATAAAATGCAGAAATTATTTTCCCCCAAACTCACAATACCAAAGTAAAAGTGGCTTCAAATATTAAATTTATGTCATACTGTTTAATACCTAGAAATTAAAATCACTGAATATATTAAAAAAAATTGTTACAAGTATATTCAAGTAAGTACTGCATAATATTTGAAATTATTAAATTTACATTTCAAATATTAAAAGCAAAGGAAAAATTAAAATTCTACTTTACAGTGTCTGATTATCACCTATAACTCAACTCTATTCAACAGAAGCAAAAAGTTAACACATAAGTGTTAGCATAAATGCAAAGAAAAAATTAAAATTCTACTTCTACACAGTGTATGATTATCATCTATATCTCAACTCTATTCAACAGAAGCAAAAAGTTAACACATAAGTTTTAGTGAAGTTGTTGCATCCTTTATGCATTTATGCTATGTATTAACTGTTTCATGACTCATGTAAAATAATATAAACAGAGCTATCTCAAATTAACTAGTTATTGAGTGTCTAATGAACTGCAAAGACTGTTCTTTTTAATGCCAGCACAATGCAATAACAAGTGCAAACACTAAGTTTAAACTAGCTCTTAGGCAATGAATTGAGATATCATTACAAACTTAATGCTTAACTTATAAACAAAACCATACACTTTTGACTATTTCCAATATGTTCAAAAATCCCACCTTTCATTTATCATTGTTAAATAAAAAAAATTCTACCCAACTTTTTTTCAGCTTTCACTAAAGATTCTCATTTGTTGCTCAATTTTTTTTTTATGCCATGAAATAAAAGAAATTAAAGCCGACTGGTCAAAAAAGAGCAGCTTTTATCACAGTAACTGTAATGAATTTCCAAACTTTCTACACATATCCTAATGATGTAGGAAGTATTTGATATTCTTTTTGTTTAAAATTCTGTCATATTATTTCTAATTTTATTTGGCCTCTTAAATCCAAAGCGATATTACTTTTTAATGTCATGTAGTGCACGGAGGGTTGAGTGTGTTATTCTAAAACAATTTTGAATGTGCAAGTTAGCAAGTTGCGTGACAACCATGACTAACATATATCAAAACCACATTCTGACACTCTTCACATTTCGTAGATAGTACAAAGCCACCGAAAACTGATCCTTTTGGAAAGGGTATGTAACAATACTTTTAGACACAAAATATTCCTACATTAAGATAAAAAAAAATGTGCTTACATCAGGAATCTAAACTTTAACTTACACAAG